CACCTGGGGAAGGGCTCACCAAAGGAACCAAGGCCTCTGACAGCACGTCTATCCAGGAGAAAACTGCCTCTCCTGCCCTCGTCCTGAGGCCAAACAGCTCAGTTCTTCCCTGTTCTCCGGTGCCCCTCAAGCTGCCTCCCCTCCGTGCTGGAGCTTAGAGGGAGCAAGTCAGAGTATGTCCGTAGGGCCCTTTAAGAGGAACTGCCTGGGGCTCCAGCAGCCTCAGCCTCCCCTGGTTTTTCCAGCCAGAAGTGATGGGGATTCTCTTTCTGGCACTGGGACCCTGAGTTGGGAGCCTGGTGTGGGACTGGGACCCCGCACTCCTCAGAGAGGACCTTCCCAGCCATGGTGTCCCCCTAATTTTTATCCGCCACACGTGGGTGTGGGACCAGCCCGTGTGGCCTCCGCCCCTTCTACCAGCCTTGATGTGGCTGCTGCTTTAACCGCCTGATGTCAGGCAGTTCTGAATGATGGTTGTTCTGTAGTTTAGTTGCAATTTTGATGTAGTTGTGGGAAGTCTTTGAAAAAACCACAACAGAGTGAAGCTATGAAAGTCGAAGTGCCAAGTGGCGAGGGACGACTGTATAAATAAAGAACCCTACTTCGCGGAAATTCATTTATCGTGGTAGAGTCTGGAACTGATCAACTGCGATAAACGAGGGCTGACTGTACAGAAACACAACAGACAGCCCGGCTGGTTTGGCTCAGCAGTTAGAGCGTCGGCCCGCGGACGGGAGAGTCCTGGGTTCAGTTCCTGCTAAGGGCACGTACCTCGGTTGCAGTGGTTGGGTTATCCGGGTGGCAACCAGTCGATGTGTCTCCCTCACGTTGATGTTTAAAAAAAAAGAAAGAAACACAACAGGTATTTGTATATTGATTTTTTTTCTTTTAACTCTTAACTTCTTTTTACTATGTTTTTTCTAATAGTTTTTGGTGGAGTCTTTAGGGTTTCCTATGTAAAACTATGTCATCCAGAAATAGTGACAGCTGTACTTCTTCCTTTCCAGCTTGGATGCCTTTTATTTCTTCTTCTGGCCCGATGGCTCTGGCTAGGCCTCCTACCATGCTGAATAAGAGTGGACATTCTTGTCTTGTTCCTGATCTTAGAAGAAAAACTTTGTTTTCCACCAATGACTGTGGATTTGGAGGCTGGGTTTTCTCCAGGTTTCTTTGGCCCAGGTACAGACTGGGAATGTTGATCCTTTCTGCCATCTTTCCTATCTGCCTCCTTCCAGTGATCTTTGCTCCCTCCATCTCCGGGATCATAGCTGGAGTTCCCACTTCGCCTTCGGGGCACCTCCCCACCCCCATCCATTTCCTTTTCATCTCTCCTTGCTGGCCCTTCCTCAGGTGGTTGAGCTGGACCTACTTTCCGCCACCACTGGAGGGGGGCGGCCACATGCGTCAGCTCTGGGATTGAGCAGGAGGGTCAGAACTTTGCTTCACCCGAGCCTTCCCCTTTGGTGGCGGGCCTGGCACTACCTTCAGAGGTGGTTCAGGTTTGGGAGGCTCAGAAACTGGAGAAGAATGACAGTCCTTCTCATTTATTTTTTTATCCTCACCCGAGGATTTTTTCAGTTTTTGATCAGATAGCGTGGGAGGGAGAGAAAGGAAGAGAGAGAGAGAGAAACATTGACGTGAAAGGGACACATTGAGAGGCTGCCTCCCGCACGACCCAACCAGGGCCGGGGACAAACTGCAACCGAGGTACGTGCCCTTAGCGGGAACTGAACCCGGGTCTCTCTGGATCGCAGGCTGACGCTCTAACCGCTGAGCCAAACCGGCCAGGGCAGTCCCCTCCTTACCGAGTCTGCACATTTCTGCTAGATGTGGCTGAAGTCCCAGTCTGTGATGACTCATTTCCTGTTCTTGATTGTGTGTTCCTGAGTTTCTCACTTCACCAGCTTGGGTGGCTCATCGGTTGACACTGCAACGTCTCCTGTTCCTTCTGTAGCCGCCCCCCCCACTTCACGTTCTCTAGCAGGTGCAGCAACAGGCTCTGCCCCTCCGAAGACAGAGGCTGCTCCCTGGACGGGGAGGTATGGGCAGAGGAGTCATCTTCCTTAGGGGCGCTCCTCGCTTTGGATTCGATCTGGGCAGGGGCTGGGGGGCGGGTGGCTTCTGTCACCACACCTGTAACCATCCCCAGAGTAACCATCTGTGGAGCCCCATGACCCGTCATCGCATCTATCATCTCTGTCTTCATAGTGGTCCCGCCTCCTCGGTAGTCATCATCCCTACCGGACCCTCTACCAAACTCTCTTCTGCCACTTCCTGTCCTGCAATCAGAGGCTCTGTCACAGTCTCCGCTGCCTCTACCATCCCTGCGTGGACCATCACCACAACTGTCCCGATGCCCAGCACGGTGTCCTCGGAATCTAACGATCTCAATACCTGTCTCGAAAGCTAGCATCACCTCTTCTAGTCGGGGCGTCATCGAAGCTGTCTGGCAGGACCGGCCTCCAGTCTGTGTCTGTTTTGTCAGAATCCCGATTTCTATCTCTGCCAAAAGAGCGACCACCCCTGTCTTTTTTTTATCCCGTGCTTGGTCAGCAATGTCCACTCCAGTTCCGTTACCTGGACTCTTCACTGAGGCTCAGGGCATGGAACCAGGGATCGGGTCCTCAGACTGAGAGTTACCAAAACCTGTCAACCTCACTGCAGTGCTGGGGTCACGTGGAAACCGCCCTGGTGTTTAATCCTCTGAAGAGTCCTTCGTGGAGACTTAACACATCATAAGGCAGGTTCCCTGGAAAAGCAGTGCAGGGCGGTGACCTGGGAAGACCGCTCCTGTCAATGTCGGGCTCCCGAGCATGGAGCAGGGTCAGCATGGGATGGTCGATCGCGGGTGCTCTGTCCACATCATCATTGCCACTACGCCAAGTGGCTGAAACGTCTCCTTCCAAATCGCCTGTTTCATCAGCCCAGCTGACTGGTTTGGGGACACAGGTGCTTCCTCAGCCAGTCCCTCCATCCTCAGCCAGAAAGTCTGTTGGGGAGATAGGCTTCCCCTTCTTATTCTGTTTTTGCCAAGGCTGCCATGTTGGGAGAGGGAGACAGAGCACAAAGGCTAAGCTGTGCTTTATTGAACTACACACATTTGATAGCTATTTTGATTTTCATTCAGTGCAAAATATTTACTAATTTCCCTTATGGTTCATTCCTTGACCTATGGATTATTTAAAGGTCTGTTATTTTCTAAATATCTGTGGATTTTCCTAATATCTTTCATTTCTTTCTAGTTTAATTCCATTGTGGTCAGAGAACATATTTTGTATGATTTCAGTTATCTTACATTTATTGAGACGAGTTTTATGATCTGGAATATAGGCTACCCCAAAGTTCCATGTTCACGTGACAAGGGCGTGTAGTGCTGTGGTTGGGTGGGGGTTTCAGAAGTATTTTATGATATAATCGTCAACTAGGTTGCTGCTACTGTTCTGGTCTTCTGTAATATTATTTTGTTCTATCCATACTCAGGAGTGATGAAATCAACACAAATGTAGATTGGTCTATTTCTTCTTCAATTTATATCCATTTCTGCTTCATGTACTTTAAAGTTCTGTTATTGGGTATATACCTATTTAGGATGGTATGTCTTCTTAATTAATGGATTACTTCATAATTATGAAATATTCCTTGTTTTCATCTACTTTGTGTAATGTAAATATAGCCTCTGTAATTTTCATAGTGTTTCCATGATAGGTATCTATTTATTTTAATTGAGTTTCTGTATACAGATTTAATTGGATCCTGCTTTTCCCATCAAGTCTAATGATCTCTGCCTTTTAATTGACGTTTATTTACATTTGGTGTAATAATTTATATGGCTGGCAGTAAATCTACCATCTTGCTACTTATATTCTTTTCCATCTTTTTCCCCCTTTTCTTCCTGCCACATTTTGAATTGTTTCATACTTCTATTTTTTTTTTTTCCTTTATTGATATTAGAGAGAAAGGAAGGGAGCAGAGCTAGAAACATCGATGAGAGAGAACGTTGATTGGCCACCTCCTGCATGCCCCCCACTGTGTATTAGGCCCACAACCTGGGCATGTGCCCTGACTGGGAATCCTCTTGGTGCATGGGTCAATGCTCAACTTCTGAGCCACACTGGCTGGGCTCTATTTCCCCACAACTGACTCCTTGGTTTTGTTTCTGTTAGATTTTTTGTTTTTATTGCACTAGTATGTTAGTTCTCAAATTGCATTCCAGTGTCCACGAGATCTTTTCAGTATGTTTGTGAAGTCAGAACTATTTGACAGAGGGTATTTTTAGGGGTGGTGTAATACAGGCCATAATCTTTGGGCTGAGCTTTGAAAGACAAATAGGCAGATATACAACAGAGAAAAAAAATTGAGGGGACATAAACAGAGCCTCAGTGACCAGTGGGATGTCACACATACATGTAACAAAAGGAATAAGGCAGGACACATAATACTTGAAATGATTGTTGAATTGTCTCCAAATTTGATGGAAACTATAAACCCACAAACCCACTTATCCAAGAAGCTTAATGAGCTGTCCTGATTGAAATGATCACCTCTCCTTTGTACTCCACTGTATCTGGCACATATTCTGATCAAAGCTATAATGTAGAATGCATTTATTTGCCCGTCTCCCCATGTGAAATTGTGAGCTACTTTAAGGTGGAATAGTGCATGGTATGATAAAGATTTGATAAAGCCAAGGTTCTCTCAAGTTCTGATTATTTTGCTTATCTCAGAGAAGCAAAATATAATCGACTTGACTGACATTTCTGTTTCAAAATACGTCACTACATTGGGAAATGAAATTTGAGTGCCTAAACATTATTTAGGCACTAGCTGCATTTCTAGACCACATGCTTAGCAAGAAAAAGAAATACATTTAAAACCAAACTCTCAAATGGAAGTATGTATTGCAGCATGCTGGCATAAAAAAGTATTGTACTATTATACTGTTAACACTTCATTTAAAAAAAACACACCTTCCATTGAAGTTGTGTTTTAAAGCAATTTACCTGGCCTGCAAATTTACTATTAGGATCAGCTGATGTAAACACACCATCTTTGTCCACTTGAAATCCACTGTGAGACCAATATGCCAGGTCAAAAGTAAATGTCTTGGTATGTTCTGGGTTCTTCGGGTCTTGTATGGTGGTGGTCCTGGAATGCATGGAAATCACACATTTGCTTCCAGCATTCTTCTCTCTCTACAGTCGAATGACAAATTCAGAGTCAATCGTTGAGTCTTGGTCATCTGCATTGTTTTGCAAGTCTTTATACCTTTTAAGAGATTAAGCCAGGAACTTTCCACTCATTCCCTTTGTTCTCTAATCGTGTTGTTCCAGTAGCTGTTAGGACGAGCATTTCTCTTACATTCCCCAGTGTCTGAAAGGCTTGTCTCTAACCACATTTCCTTTCTGAGAATAGTCCGTCTGACACTCAGCTATACTAAGAGCAGTAACTATCTGAAGCGAGCCCCTGCCTTCCCTCCCTCTCCCCTGCCAGCCTGGCAAAGTGCAGACTCTACCCCAGACTATTGGAGCCAAGGACACGGGGCTCCCTCTCCCCCCAGATCCTAATGGAGGGCAGGATATCAGCACTTTCCACCCTGCCCTCATCTACCTGCTCCTGGGGCTAACAGTGTGGGTGAGGGGTTCCTCCTCTGCCCAGCTCCCTCTCCTTTGGCTGCAGCACACTGGGAAGGCTGGTGCTGATATCTTGCTCCTGAGATTCATGCCAGCAGAGACCAGCTCAGAGGACCACAGGCTGTTGGTCCACATCCACCTGCTGGGCTTCTAGATCAGGGATGTCGCTCAGAGCAGCTTGCCATTGCCTCCACCAGAAATCCGGTGCCCTGGATCTTGCCCAGGGAACAGCACCTGAATCTCTTCCCAAAGGAATTGACTTCATTTGCCCCCTTAGAGTAATTCAATCTACTTGGGTACTCTCAAGGTACTTGGGTACTCTCTTGTGAGTAAGAGTACCCTCAAGAACAGAGGAAGTTGTGATGAAAAGTAACTGGGTAGAGATTCAAGATACAGGTAAAATTCTAGGCCCTCTAGTGTGCGGCGGGCAGGGACTGGGGAGTAAGATAGCTGGGAGGAACCTACCTGCGGTCAGAAAAAATGCTAGACACTGATCTCAACTTTTTCCCCGAAGGAACCAGAATTCGATTGGATTAATTTGTAGAGCATTTTATGTCCCAGGACACTATTGAAAGCAAAGCTTTCAGCCAGCCATCAGGAGTTACACAGCCCAGGGTGACCAGATGTGCACAGGAGCCCTGCAAAGCTGTCACCCAGGGTGACGGGCATGTCCAAGCTGTGCCTTCCTGAGGAATAGCAACAATCCAGCCAGTCACTGAACAAATAAGCAAATGGCAATAAGCTACAGAGGGGCGGGAGGACCAGTACCCAGATTTGCTGTAGAATATTATGTAAAAAATTACGAGACACGCAAAGAAACAGGAAAATTAAACCCACACAGAAGGGGGGTGGGGGAAAAAAGCAGGAAACAATCTGTCAGAGTGACCAGATGCTGGACTTACCAGAAAAAGATTTTAAAGTAAATACTGCAAACATATTCACAGAACTAAAGGAAACCATGTGTAAAGTAAAGGAAGGATTATACAGGAACACTATGAACAATTGCGTATCATTAATTTAGAAGATTGAGATGAAATGGATGAATTCTGATACAAATTACTAAAACTCATTTAAAAAACTAGACAATCTGAATAGACCTATAAGAGATTGAATAATAATTAAGAAAATAAAAGCCCAGATGGCTTGACTGCTGAATTCTACAAAAAAGTTAAAGAAAGCAATTCATAATCACAAAACAGAAGAGGGAACACTCCCCAACTTAGGACATTACAAGAAAATAAAACTACAGACCAATATCTCTTATGAATATGGAAGCAGGAATCTTTAGCAAATTAACAAATTGAATACAGCACCATTTAAAAAGAATTATACACCATGACCAAAGGGGATTTATCCTAGGGATGCAAGCTTGGTTCAACATCTGAAAATGACTATTAATCACGTTTTTTATTTTCTATATTTTATAATGCTTGGACATCCAGGGCCTAGAGAGACTGCCCCTCAAGAACTAATGAATTTCTAGAGACAGAAAACAACTTGACTTTCATGCAAACCAATCAATGCCAAGTCCATATCCCAAACACCTCCTTCATCTAACTCACACATACACCAAGCCAGTATTTCCTCTGCTCTCCATCAACACAGGGCCAGGTACCTGACAACTAGAGATTATCCCTAGAGTCCCTGAAATTACTCAAACTATCTAGTCCTAAGATTGCTCAAAACTGCCCACCGTGCCTGCCCATTCCTCCCTGCGGAAACCAGAATAAGACTGTGGGCCCTGCACTCTCTGCTCCTCATACCTTCGGACTGACCTTGATACTTCCCCATGTGGCTCCAAGTAGCAAGTTCCATTCTCTTGGAAATTGTAAGGAGGTTGCCTCTTTGTCATCTTATTATACCTAATAAATCCTAGATATCCTTAAAATGATTTAATGTAGTACATCTCAAGACTAAAAACCAAAGCCACCTCTGATCTCAACAGATGCAGAAAACACATTTGACAAAATCTAACGCCTTTTCATGATAAAAATAGCCAACAAATTAGGACTAGAATGAAAATCAGATAAAGGACATGTATAGAAAAATCCATTAGTAGTATCATCCTTAATGGTTAACACTGAATGTTACCCCCTAAGATCAGGAAGAAGGCAAAGATTTCTACTACTGGCACTTCTGTTCAGTATTGTATTGCAAGTTCTAGCCAGGATAATTGGGCAGGAAAAAATAAAAGGCATCCAGATAGAAAAGGAAGGAAAATGACCTCTATCTTGAATAAGGGAAACCCTAAGGGATTCACTAAAATACTATCAGAATAAATAAATTCATTAAGATTGCAGGATACAAGATTGATATCTAAAAATCAATTGTAATTCTATTCAAAATGAATAATCTGAAACCAAAATCCAGAAAACGATTCTATTTCTAATAGCATCAAAAAGAACAAAATATTTAGGAATAAACTAGAGACAGGAATTGGATCAATGGTTGCTTAGGGCTGGGGGAATAAAAATGATATAGGTAAAGGATACAAATTGAGATGATAAAAATGTTCTAAAACTTAAGGTGGTTACATAAATACATGAGTATACCAATAATCACCATATACTTTAAGTGAGAGACTTATAGAAAATGTGAATTATATCTTAAACCATTTAAGAGATTATGGTGGCCAGGCTGGTGTGGTTCAGTGGCTGAGCACCAACCCATGCACCACGAAGTCACCAGTTGGATTCCCAGTCAGGGCACATGCCCAGGTGTGGGCCAGATCCCCAGTGGGGGGGCATGCAGGAGGTGGCTAATTGATGTTCTCTCTCATTGATGTTTCTAGCTTTTTCTCCCTCTCCCTTCCTCTTTCTCTAAAATCAATGAAGGGAAAAACATTTTTTAAAAAACAAAAGGAGAATATGGTGGGTGAAAAAATAACCTTTAACAGGTGATATTAAGAGTACTTGTCAGCCCTGGCCAGTTTGGCTCAGCGGTTAGAGCGTCGGCCTGCGGTCCGGAGAGACCCGGGTTCGGTTCCCGCTAAGGGCGCGTACTTCGGTTGCAGTTTGTCCCCGGCCCTGGTTGGTCGTGCGGGTGGCAGCCACTCGATGTGTCCCTTCACGTCGATGTTTCTCACTCTCTCTCCCTCCCACTCTATCTGTACAAAAAATGGAAAAATATCGAGTGAGGATAAAAAAAAAAAAAAAAAGAGTACTTGTCAGGCATTGTGCTGATTTATACATCACCTCATCTTTGTAACAATCCTGGGAAGTATCAGTATCTCTTTACAGATAGGGAAACCAAGGCTCAAAGACCTTAAAACCTTGCTCAAGGCTACACAGAGTGTAAGTGAAAAAAAGTCAGGTTTTGAACTTAAGTGCATCTGATTTCAAAAGCTCCTGAGAATGTATTGCCCCTTATAACAAAGGCAGTCTGGCCCCACAATGAAGATATCGACTGTATATGAAGAAAGTAGGCAGCGTCCAAGTCACCTAGGAGGCTGTCCAGGTGTGATCAATAACCATCTACCCTCAAATCATCTCTGGAATTCCTCCCCTTTCCTCCTTGCTACTATTCTAGCACAAGGTGATCAACTTGGACAGTGGACCTGAATCAAACCCAATCTCTTTGAAGAGGGGACCTAATTATGAAAATATGTAAATGTTTGTTTACTTCCACATCCTTTGGTTTACAACTTGCAGTTAGTTACTCTGGTAATATTTAAGGCCAGTGAAAAATAAACCTCAGAATAGCTACTTTCAGTGTGTTGGTTAGGATATAAAATGGTTTTACTCCCTCTGGGGGGAGTGTGTGGGTGTTGGCGGGTGTGTGTGTGTGCGCGCGCGTGCAAAACATTTAATTCACTGGCCACAAGCTAATTCTTTGACGTCACCCCAGGGCCAAGTACCTGACAACTAGAGATCATCTTAATTATATATTGACTGATCACTGAAATATTTTCTGCAATATAGATGAATGTTAAGGGACAGAGCTGAAAATGTGCCAAGTCATATTGAATGTAATCCATCTTGCTGGACAAGACAAAAAGCAGCAGGTTGTACAACTGGGAAAGACCTCTTGTATGGTCGTTATTACACTATATCCCATTCAGGATCCATTCCTGTCAAATAAGCCAAATCTTACTTATTTATCCAGTAGGGTCATCTCCAGGACAAGACCTGTCAAGGCACGGCCACACCTGACCTTTCTCTGGGTGCCTCACTACAATGGCACACACTGCTACAAATAACTCACATAAAACTGGAAGCTAGTGGGGAACAAAGGACGTTCCTTTGAATCCTGTCTCCCGTACAGTGTTTCATCCACAGCAGACTGTCAGACATGTGCTGAATGGGTTGACTGTTCAGAATTATCTTAAATAACTAATGCATTGGTAATCCAAGGTAAATGATTGCTAAAAGGTCCTAGAATGAGTCCAATCCATATTTCATCCTAAAATGTTGTAGAAACAGTTTAATGATCAGTGTTTTTGTAAAATGTTATATAAATACATTTATACACCAACAAACTTAAAACAGTTCATTCAAACTGGCAATTTGTTTGCTTATGATCTACTGTTGAAGGGGAAAAGGTACGTTACCAATAGATACCACATGTCTATATTCACCAAACTTCACTGGCTTTAAAAATTAACTTGACAGTACATTCCTCTGGTCAATTTTTTATTGTGCTACTTGCGCAAAGAATGAAGTTTTTACTGAATTATTTAGATCTTTAAATTGCTCATTTAACAAGTTCATTTAAATAAGTTTAATATTCCATAAATGACAAGCAGTTTAAATACAAATTTGATGACTGGAAATTTAAAAATAAGATGAAAGTCATAGCCAAACTCTGGACAAGGCAACACCGCCCACTAACCTGGCTGAAAGGCCGCACCCGCACTGCTACTTTCACACTGTCGCCCCCTGGCACAGGCGTTCCTGTTTTCCCGTTATTCATACTGTTATTCGTTATTCATACTGTTATTCGGGAGGAAAATAGCATAGAAAGCACACTGCTCACGCTTCACATGAAACAGTAAAAGTTTAGCCAATAAAAGCAGTTTGTTTCTAGACAATCAATTATTAATGATCCATTCATTACATACTATCCATTACCGGTTATAAATTATTTTACAACACTTATTTATTGATGAATTTTATAGCCCACACCAAGTATCACAACTTAATTGCACACAGTCATACTGCAGAGAACAGTTTTTTCCCCCTTTCTTGTCCTTTTCCCACATCTATTCACACACTTTCCCCATCCTTGATGGTCTGTGCCTGAGGTCCTGTGAGAATCTGTCAGTTTTAAAACCTGAATATTAAGGGATTTCTGTGATTCAGTACAAGCTCCTTCAAAGCAATACAATTTCTTCAGACTTCTCATTCTATCAATATTAGGTGCACACAGGTACAATATGAATATGCATTTTTACATTCTCCCCTCCGTCTCTAAACCCTTTTAAGAAGTTGCTAGTGAGCAGTGAACCGGTCAATCTAACCTGGATAATTAGTCTCTGAATAATTTAGAGACTGTAAAGACAATAGCCTTTAGGCCTGTTGAACTAGAAACACCAAGGTTACATTTAACCAATGCATTTACTTAGAAAATTACTCATTTGAGGTAGAATACACAAAATTTGTTAAACTACAAAGAAGTGGCAAAATTACATGCCCATAATTCAATTTGAACGTAAGCAACCACAAAAATACCCCAAAACATTTTATGATTAGAAATCTTAATCACAGAAGCAAAGTGCATAAATTATAAAATAGCAACTTAAAATAATAGTTCAACCACCCTCATTTTAAGATCAGTCTAATACTTTTAACTGTAAAGAAAGAAAACGGGGCCAATACTTGCTAACACAAAGTTATTACTAAAACAAATTCCCTTCTCAAAAATCAAACCTACACAAACTACTGTGAAGTATATACTTTATTTAACATTCTAATAATAAGCCATATGTACATATTATATAAATGTATGAAGTCGTAATATAAAATAGGGAAAAAATGCCTCCACTAAAAGAAGCATACTCCATATGGAGTTATTTTACTTATGGAAGACTTTCTGTTTACAAAAATTTACAATTTATATAAATTATTATCTTCCAAATTAGATGATTTTTTAATAATCCACATAATTCTGATGACTTTACAAATACGTGTACATTAAAAATTGAAAAAAACTACAGCATTTTTCTGCGTACAATCTGTTTTGGGAAGGAAGATGGTTTCTTTCTGTTTCTTCCAAGAGCTTTTCCTGTTACTTCTACAGTTTTCCTGGGCTTTCTCTTCACTCCATCAATTGGGGTTGCCAAGGGAGAAATCAGCTTAATTTCTACTGGAGGAGGTGACCAAGAACTTTCTTTTTCTGTGATTCTAAAAAAAAAAAAATTCAAGTAAGAATAAACACGTCATAATATAAAATATAACTGGTTTCAGTGACTCTTCCCTAGTGCTTTCATTTTATTTATTTATTTTAAAAAATTCTCGCCTGAGGATATTTTTCTATTCATCTTCAGAGAGAGAGAGAGATAGACTGGTTGCCTCCCACACGAGCCTGACCAGGGCCAGGGATGAACCGCAACCTAGGTACATGCCCTTGGCCGGAATTGAACCTGCAACTCACTGGTCTGCTGGCCGACACTCGACCACTGAGCCAAACTGGTCAGGGCCTAGTGCTGTCACATTAGCTAATCAGAGGCAGAGTTAAAATTTCACGATAGAAATTTTCCTTTTTAACTTGGATATTCAAAAACAATCACTGCTGAATGTTCTTTAGATGTTTTATATGTACTAATAAATACTACTGAGTTATAGGGATTGACCAAGTACAAATCTCACTCCATGGAATGAGAGCCCAGCAGGCCCATGAAAGTATGAGAAATAGTAAGTTCATTTTTAAAGTAAGATAAAATGGATTACTTTACTTTTATTAAATCCAATGATGCCAAAGCATAGCATAAATAAAATACCAAGTAACAAATATATCTGAAATGGAATAATGTCCCCATGGATAACATTTTATTGATATTAGTGAAATAATCACAGGATTCTGACGTTTATTTATTTATTTATTTTTTTAATCCTCATCCGAGGACATTTTTCCATTTTTTGCACAGACAGAGTGGGAGGGAGAGAGAGGAAGAGAGAGAGAGGGAAACATCGAGTGGCTGCCACCCGCACGACCAACCAGGGCCGGGGACAAACTGCAACCGAGGTACATGCCCTTAGCGGGAACCGAACCTGGGTCTCTCCAGACCGCAGGCGGACGCTCTAACCGCTGAGCCAAACCGGCTAGGGCTCTGACGTTTATTTATATTTACCTCTATTAATAGTCATCTATCTTTGCTATGGAAAATATAAAACATCCCATTCCCTACCCTACTGCAGAAACAAAGATTCACTGGGTATTAAATGACTCCTTTGAAAAGGATGAATGGGTTTCCATACTATAAAGAAATCCAGCCCTGGCCATTTTGGCTCAGCGGTTGGAGCGTCGGCCTGCGGTCCGGAGAGACCCGGGTTCGGTTCCCGCTAAGGGCATGTACTTCGGTTGCAGTTTGTCCCAGCCCTGGTTGGTCGTGCGGGTGGCAGCCACTCGATGTGTCCCTTCACATCGATGTTTCTCTCTCTCTCTCCCTCCCACTCTATCTGTACAAAAAATGGAAAAATATCCTCGGGTGAGGATAAAAAAAAAAAAAAAAAAGAAATCCACTTTCCACAGTGAAATCTAACAATTACAAGGAGCCAGTGCTTATGTCCACAAAAATTACCCCTTTCTAATGAGCTTAATTTTTTCCTTTAAATCAACTCTTCTCAAATTTAATTTTAAGAAACAAAACATATAAAAAAAGTCATACTTGCTTGCTTGTTTTGTTTTTTCAGTCTTGATTCTTTTTAGTTTTTGCTGTCCCACAGGATCATCCTCCTAAGAGTTAAAATTTCAAAAAATAAATCTTAAGTAATTAAACATTCAAAATCTAAATTTAAAAAGTTCTAAGTCAAGGAATATAGTCAAACAGTGCTAATAAAGTCAAACTCAGCAAGTCCCAAGTGAACTTTTTTTTAAATCCTCAAACAAGGACATTTTTGTATTTATCTTCAGATAGAGCAGGAGGGAGAGAGGGAGAAAGAGAGAGAGAGAGAGAAACATGGATGTGAGAGAGACACATCAACTGGTTGTCACCCACATGACCCCAACAGGGGCCAGGGACGAACTGCAACTGAGGTATGTGCCTTTGGCAGGAACCGCACCCGGGACTCTGGTCCGCGGGCCGACACTCTAACTGCTGAGCCAAACAAGCCAGGGCAAACTCGTATTTTTTAGTAGAAAGCTTGGTCATCCAACATCGATTTTTATCCCTTATCCTCACACATTCAATTGATTCTTCTGTTTCATTTTTAGAATGTTTCCATTGTTCACTGTCTTTCTGTCCCCACTGCCTCTGTCCAAATCCAGGCTCTCGTCATCTCATAAGAATTGGGCCACCTGAGACTTTTTCTTCCTCATCAGAATTCATTTTTCATAGAAACAACTTAAACGGAACCCCTGCCCAATGCATTGTCATGCTTCTGTGCCTTTGCATCTGTTTTCTCTGCCAAGAATGCTTGTCTCCTTTACCTTCTGTCTATAGGGGTATTTGGGTATAAGTGATTCTTATCATGCTATAAAATAATTATGTCTGTTTTTACTTCTTCAATTAAACTGAACTCCTAAAAAACAAGGAATATGCCTGAATTATTTTTGTGTAAGTCACTGTTCTTGCATGGTAGCTGGCTAATGGCAGATAATTAAAAAAATGCTTATGAATTTACGTTGGCAGCAAATGTAAGGGTCTCATATCCAATCCCTGAACTATTTTAATGTTAGGGTTATGTGTAATTAGGTGATGGAATCAACTCTGAAGCACTCTCCAAGTGTGGTCTGTAGATGACATTCCAGGGATTCAGAGACTTACATTTTAAATAAACACATCCAGATAATTCTGATGAGACACTAAAATTTAAAAACCTTTTCCCTAATTGGTCATTTAAACTGCAACTGCCTTCAGTAACACACCACAAATCTTTCTTAAATGTAGTCTCTCAAAAATGTAGACAAGGCAATTTCAGGATGTTAATATAAGTGTAGACTCTTTTTTAAAAAAGTTTATTTAGGAATATTGTTTCCAAAAAAATGCTTAAACAAGTATACAAATAAAATAATGCACTTCTTACCAGCTCAGGTACAAGTTTGGGTGTATTAGACATGTTCTTCCGTCTGGTCCTCAGAGCAGGAGGTGAAAGAACAAATGGAGAAGATAAATCTGAAACTAATTCTTTCAGCTGTTCAGGAGCTTCTACTTTTTTAGCTAAAGAAAAGTAGAAAAAAACAACACATCTATTCCAATTTATATAAACATATACATTTTTTTAAAAAAGCTTGAAGTAAATGATGTGCATTAGAAAGAGATAAACATACCCAAACATAGAAAACACTAGTATCATAACATGGTACACCCATGAGAGAAACAACAGGAAAAATCTCAACACCATTTGGGTAATTAAATGTTCAGAAATAGTTAATGCTGCAAACTAAACAATTCCATAATATAAAAATAGGACTTAAAGCAGCTACAAAACAATATTATACTAGTTTCAATCTTGACTGTCCCTCAAATGTTCTGAGGAGGCAAACTTATCAATCTCATATATAACCTGAGCTAGTTTCATTAATTCCTACTGTTCCAGAAACAAGGTTTTTTTTTTTACAAAAGTAATTTTATTTACAAAGAAGAAACTCAAACCTTTCCTTCCAGCTCATTCTGAGTTAAATGTTCTTCTAGTCAAGGGGAACAACAGAAGAGTCCACAGAATAAAAGGAAAAAGCAAGGTGATAGGAAGCGATTCCACGGATAAATAAAAATGGTTTAAGAAATGATTTAGAATATGTGAAAACATCTATCACAGAC